GAACCATGGAAAGGGGTCTGTAGAGTACGGGGACAGACTCTGAGAAGCAGAAGGCTGGGAGGAGATGTGTTGTAGGATCAACAGAGGAATTTGTAGAGAACAGGGATGAAGTCTTCAAAATTGAAAGAAATGTCAACAGTTACTTTAGTTGGGCCTTGTATAGCTAAAGGGATTAAAGGCAGGACATAATAGCTTTAATCTTTGGATATTTGCTAGGTTTGAGATAGGTCATGGTTTGAAGAGATTGCTGTGCTGGCTCTCATTTGATCCACACACCTTTGTGCTATGGTTTGTACCAGACCTCTGCAGCAGCTGTGTGTCACAGAACACGCCTTATGGAGATCAGGGTCTCTTCTCTGTCCTCTAGACCTCTACCAAGGTAGAGCAGTTGAAAATATTTGGAGGGAGAAAACGTCCTTCTTGTGCTGTTGTTACTGGGGTCTCTCCAATTCAGGAGGTATTTTAGAAAAACAAACCATTTGTCTGTGACTCAGGATGGGTTTGTAGACTGTTGGTATGGTGAATGCAGTCACTTCCCCTGGGGCATATTCGTCTGTGTATAACACTGGTTCACCAAAGAGGATTAACACACAGACCTGAAAGGGTTTCTGGACTCTTATTACTCCTGCCTTTTCTACTTCTCTTGTATCTGCTTATTGCTGAACAGAGAATCATAAACACATTGGTTGGGAAAGACCGTGGAAATGGTTTTGTCCAAGCTCCCTTTCAGAGGATCATCATCACTGCTCTGGTTTTGTCTAAGTGAGCTGTGAAAATCTGAACAAATGGAGGTACACAATGTGGCAAAGTGTATAGAAAAACCTCTTGGTCTGAAAGGACGAGTCCTGGGAATTGTGTGCTATTGAGGGTTTCATTTAGATTACAAAATCAGGTTGTGGGTTTCAAAGGGTTACAGGACCAGATCTCATAGACCTGTTACTCTTTTTGCCTGTGCTGATTCTGCTTCTCCTCTTTCTTCATCTATTCTGACTGATGGATTTGGTCATTAATTATCACTAATTCATGACTAGATTATGCTGTATGAAGCCACATAAGTACCAGAAAAACACATCAGGTTCTGCATGCCCTGAGCAGGGCAAACCAACCATAACCATAATAATGTAGGTGTCATCAGCAAAGACTGCTGATCTTAGAAAAACCTACTTTGACAGGCTGGGAGTGTATCTAAACTGACTTGATAGGAGCTGACTGCCACAGGGTGATTTTTGTCTTCTGACTTTGAGTAATGCAAGCTGAGCCTGCCTAAAGTCTCCATCAGGGAAGCACAGGGCTCCTGCTAATTCCTACAGACACCTGGCTCTGTGTGAGTTGTCACACACAGCTCTGGCAGGAGTTGTTTATGCTGCAGCAAAGAGAGCATTAGAGAGTTCCTAATGTGAATTAAGTGCTAGCACAGCACGGATGAAGGGGTGAGTTACTCACAGAGCTGTCTGAATATGTTGATTAACTTGCAGTGATCAATTTCTCCCCTGGTATTTAAGGTCTAGTACCTGTTCTGTAGTAACGAATTGGAAACATTTTTCTTTACTATGGACCTCATTTCTGTTGCAAATCCTGCAAATCATGCGGTTATTTTGCAAGATTGACACTATGCAGTAATTGCAAACATCTAGAGAGGTCCTGTCACTATCACTACCCCATTTTTAACCCTCTGTGGTCACACGTCTAGTAATGGGAAAGCTGTTTATCATATCCTGTCCCATTTTGATTGTGAGGTGACCAAACAAAATGTGATTTCTGATGGAGTTGGTGGCTGTATTTGCTTTCAGACACATTATGGGGACATAACCTCATGACCAACATGTTCACCCATATTTCATGGCCATGGCTGTTACCACAGAGACAGAATAAGCCAGGGTTCCTAGCGTGATGTTTAGCTTTGGTAGGCTTGCACGTTGTACTTGTTTGATCACTGTGTACAAGAAATATGAAGCCCTAGATCCAAGCTTTACATTTAGATGGAATGGAAACTGGTTAATTTTCCTAAAACAGGCTTATGTATTTTTCTTTTATTTCAATTTATTCTGCCTCTTTCTAACTGGAACAGAATGCATTTCTCAGCCCCCTTGGCTGTATGGAATGTAGGAGAGGACCAAATGATGCACTCAGCCCAAGAGATACTGGCATAGCTTTGAGATTTCAGCCATGCTCCAAGTAGAGTGCAAGTCTGTGGTGGTGCTCATGAACTAGATATAGCTCCATTTATATCTCTCCTTCTTTTCACAGAATCATTAACACTGGAGAAGGACCTCCAAGATCATCAGGTCCAACCTTTGAACCTTTGACCAAACACCACTGTGCCAACTAAACTGCAGCACTAAGTGTCACATCAAGTAGTTCCTTGAACATTTTTAGGGATGGTGAGATGTTATGTAGAGAGAAAATTAGGAAGGCAAAAGTTCAGCTAGAACTCAATCTGGCCACTGCTGTTTAAGATTATAAAAATGTTTTTATAAATATGCTGCCAACAAAAGAGGGACAAGGAAAATCTCCATCCTTTATGGGATGTGGAGGGGAACATTATCACCACAGATGAGGAAAAGGCTGCCTTCTTTGCCTCAGTCTTTAACAGTAAGACTGGTTATCCTCAGGGTAACCAGCCCCCTGAGCTGGCACACAGGGACACAGAGCAGAACAGGTCCCCCACAATCCAGGAGGAAATGGTCAGTGACCTGCTGTGCCATTTAGGCACTCACAAATCCATGGGGCTGGATAGGATCCACCCAAGGGTACTGAGGGAACTGGCAGAAGAGCAAAACAATTGGTAATTATTACTAAGCATATATGACAATTATTTGCATATATGACAATTATGCTTAGGTGCTTTATATACTATGTGGAAAATATAGGACTGTGGTGGATAAATTGTCATGAATGATAGGTCTTCCCCATCCCACCAGAGAAAAGAAACTCACCAAGTATTTATTTTTATTCTAAACTTTGAAATATTTTCAGTATTGGGGGGGAAAAAAAAAAACCCAACCAAAACTCCCCAAAAACTAACCCTGAAAATCCATCTCATTAAACATATCTGATTTTTGATGTGAAATATTTGGAAAAGACTACTGCTGATTTCTCCTGTACTTTCATTTCATCATATAGCCAATGCTTAATTACAGAATATGCATTTATTTGGCAGCAAGAAGCTTGTGGTGATCACAGCCTGGTTTACATACCAGACTCCGTGTGCAGTTGCTGTAAGACACCACAGAAATTCTATTTTGAGGTCTGTACTCATGGTTGACTTAAAAGACCAAAGCTCTGTTGAATTGGCCATTATATTCTTTTCACCAACAATTTATTGTTATTAACAATTAATTTGGTCTTGCAACCACTGAAAAATCTTCAGGGTCATGAGCTTTATTTCAAGCTCATAAATGGAACAAAACTGCACATCCCAGTTGAATTTCAGTCTTTGACCTGCTCTGATTATTTTCTTCTGTTCTTCTGAAATAATCACTGTAATGGAAGCAGAGCTGCTCTGAGCAATAAATTATAAATGTTGTGCTTGAGGCTGCTGATTGGGATGTGATTGAATAGATAATTTACAGATGACTACTGAACAAAGAGCCTCTGGTGGCTTAAAATAACCCATTTCTTTGTAAACTCTTGAAAGCAAGGGACAGATAATGCCAAAAACCCTCTCTTTTAAGGCCAAGGTAAGCACACAGAGTAATAAAAACTCTGGCTGTGGAAATGAGCTGCTCTCTCTGGGTGGAAATCAGGGAAGCTGAAAGACCCAGATGGAGAAATGGACACATGCTGCAGTATCTGAAGTGAGCAGCCAGTGGGACATCAGCAGAAAGGTTCCCTAGGTAACACCCAGAAAACCTGTTTGTTCCCCACTCCTGCATCTCCAAATGATGATGTTCCTTTTGATCAAACAGTGAGGTGGTGAGGAGGAGGCTGGCTGTGCACTGCTAGCCTGGGCTGCAGGCTCTTCTGGAGACACAGAGCTGGGAGAATGTGTTTAATACTCAGGTTTTTGCAGCCTGGAGTCTAATCTGAGAGCAGCAGAGCTAGATTGAGGAGTAAAAATATGGTGCTTGGGTGATGTGCTCTGAGACTGGAAAAGAGGGGAAAAAAGGGGAGTTACCTGTAGATGTGCTAGAGACAGTCCTGCAAACCAAACCTGGGTGACATGGTTCTCCAGGGAATGCTGGGGGTATCCCTGCTTCTGCCAGCAGGAAGGAGTTTTCTGTTGCAACAGGGCTGTGCTACTCTGCAGTGTCTCCTGCACTGAACGTGCCCACGTGTCTGTTCTCAACTCACCTCTGCTTCTGTTGACCAGTTCTCAATATTATCATAGTGATGCCTGGGTTAAACAAACCAGTGATTTAATTCTTGGTTTCACTTCTAAGTTTTCAGTATAACAAGGACATTACAAGCCCTATTAAGCAGAGCAAAATAAGCTTTAGCCTGCACATTAGTTTAGCCACAGTGAGTTACCATATAAATGAACAGTTCTGAAATGTACCCAGCTCTTCCACTGGATTTATGTTTCAGCACATATCACACCATAGATTCAACAAACATAGATAATTTTAAATGGACAGCTATGTACAAAATTATTATACAGTGTTATTACAAAACTTGAGAAATAAAGCTCTGAATTTTGAAAACACAGTACTGCACAGTCCCAGTTTTAAAGCCAAAGTAACATGATTCCACACGTTCTGCAGCTTGGACACAGACTCTTTGAGTACAAGCAGCTGACAATGGAAGTCAAACCCAGAGATTTACTATAGGATAAGCTGAAAATGTGTCCAATAGAACACTCTGGAAAACCTCTTCCTGTTGCTTTAGCAAGAGAAGCCAGGGCCCTGGTTCTCTCAAAGCTGATGGATGCATCAGGGAGTATGACAAGACTACTTAAGACTACTGATGCACTTCAACTTAATTGCACATAAGCATCATGTAGGAACCAGACACTGTTTATATGGCCATATGCTTAGTAAAATACATACTTTTTCTTTTACTTGTTTTTTTTTTTTTTTTTTTTTTTTTTCCCTGTAACCAATCTCCCTTGCTTTAAGCAATTGAGAGTAAAAATACATTTGTCTAATCTGGGTCTTGGACCTGGTCCAATATAAGTCATCAGTGGGCAATGAGAAGAGGGACTTAACACAACACACCCCCACCTGTGATGGTACAGCCACTGCTTAATTTATACCCTTAATTTAATTGAGGCACTACTGTTTTTAACACTTCTTCAAGGGCTAAACACTGCAGTCTGTTCTTGGGCCACACTCAGCTGTCATTTCAAGAGGAGTTTGGCCTAAGAGCAGGTTGAAAGACCTGGCTTCCAGGACAGTGGATGACAGGTCTGACCCTTTCACCACCACTATGCACAGAACCATCCCCTGCCCCCACAGGTGCCCAGTGCAAGGCACAGGCTGAGGGGTCCAAAGTCTCTGGGGAGGCTCTTTAGGTCCTGGGGAGGGGGGTGAAAGGCTGCATGAGGAGAGGCTGTGGGTCTTCATGGGGAAGAAGTTGTCCATGGTGGCATTTCATTGATGCAGAACCTGGAGTCCCAGAAGCTGGCAGCACTCCAGGGACACATGAGAGGTTCTCTCATACCTTCTGCCTTGCCACGACACCTGCAGGAAGAGGGGGAAATGTAAATTATTTGCAACTATGAACAAAAGTGGTGTTTTTGCATGCTAATGTATCTAATGGTTGAGGTGCTGCTAGGGAAATCAGTTTCATCTGTTCCTCAGATAATCTAAAAACAGGTAGTTTGATGTACTTAATAAAAACTTCATGTTTCCGGAACCAATCTTGATGCTCCAGAGTTTGGGCAACTGTGCTTTTAAGTTTAGTCCAATAACATGTATCCTTCTAGGTATTAAATTGCTGAGGTAACTAAATCTAGAGGATTTAGCAGGACTGTCAGAAGGATGGGGCAGCACACTGTAGCCTGTCTCACTCCATAACTGAATCAAATACCATTTCTGAAGGCAGACATGAAGGCAAAGGGCTAGCAGGAAGATGAGCATTAGATTGATGACATTCTCACAGTCTGTTTAAAAACTGCCCACAAACAATATTGGGTCTGCAGAAGGGGAGGTGAATCATCTGTCCCTCAAGAATTAAAGGAAAACCTGGACTCTCAATCCTTTCTGTGTCTTTGCAGGGGAAGGTTGATGTGCCACTGTGCTGTGGGCAGGTCATAGCTGCCCTTCTGCCTTTTCCCTCCCTCCTCGCCAGGCTGTGGTCTCTGAGCTGGTCTGTACTCCTGGTTTGGTTTTCCTTTTGCTTTCTAGGGAATAAATCAAGTAGGTTTGTGAGAAAGGAAATTGCTAAAGCCCAGTTGCTCATGGAATTGTGCTTCCAAGGCTTTTCTTCCCCCTAACCATTCCAAGTGACATACAGAGGGGAGGAAAAGGGGAGCTGCACAAACAGACATGAACATTTGTCTGTAGCAATTCTCTAGGGTTTAAGGGAGGCACACTCAAAGAGCAGCTCTCTTGAGTCCACGTGTTTGTACAGTCTCTCCTCTCTTTTACTGTCACCTTTATAAAATGATTCTTTAAGCTCTTTCTGGACACGGTTGGCAATGAGTTGAGATGTTACCAGGGTGCACACAGTGTGCCCACCAGTGCCTTGATTCCAGAGGAAAAACAGCTAAACCATTTCTTTCAAGAACATTAAGATAATGTGGAATACCACTCTTTAGATGTAAAAGCTGACATTTAAAGACATTATTACAGAAATTGCTGCATAACAAGATGTGGTCAAGGTGAAGCCAGAACTCAGTAGCTGATTACAGTCTTTTACTGCTCTGAAATATTACCACAGAGTTCCTGCCCTCTGCTGCTTTTAGGGAAGCTGTAAAAACTCATAAGGGGTTTGAGTCTTGATCCCTGCAACTGGATCTGCACAAGAAGGAAGAAGATTTCTGTGGCTTCACTGAGACATTTACTTCCACATCAGCAAATCCACCAGAAAAAGAAATATCCTGTACCAAAAGAGAGCTAGTGGAGACCTGAACAGACTATGTTTGCTTGGGAAAAAACATAAAATTAAAAAAAAAAAATCAGGTGGAAGATCCTAGGGAAAAATATTGATTGGTAACACTCCAGGCTTGCTGAATCTGTCTTATCAAGAAGTTCTGTCTTATCTGTCTCATCAAGACAGGAGCTGCATTTGGGAGAGGAAGCTCTCTGGCAGGAGATTTAAACAAGTAAATGGGGTTTTGCTTCTGCTGCCCTTGCTGACATACAGAAGAAGAAGAGGAAAAAGAGAAGTGCAGGTTTTGAGGTGCAGCTCATTGCTGCCCTCCTGGCATCAAAGCCCAGGTGGGCTCTGCTGGTGCAATGCCAGGCACTGCATTCCAAGGATGCAGTGAAACTCCTGCCTGACTTCATAAAGATATTGTATGCCCCTGCATTTGTCTGTGCTGCATTTCTATGTCTTCCTAGGACAAAACAAAACTGTGTTTCATATATTTTTTTTCAAATATGACTTTTTTTAAGCCTGTATGCTTAAAAAAAATTTGGAGTTAAGCTTAACTCATGGTTCCAGCTGCCCTTCCAATGCAGCTTGTCCACTGGTCCTGGTGTGCTTCTCACCTATGCTCCATTGCTACTATTTTCTGTTCCTGCAGGAAATCTTCCTTAGATTTTTAACCAACAGAGCTACTTCCACTTCAGGTACTCCTATGGTACTGCAAGAAAAGGGCCAAAAGGAGGGCAGGAGTAGTGAGGACTGTAACTACCCAAAGTATATCCCATTTTCTCTTGCTAGCAGTGATGCTCCAGGTGCAGGAACAAAAGCAGTCCTGTGGGGAAATCCTGCACAGACTCCTCCTGTCTCTGTGCAGGAGCACGGCTCCCAGCTGGGCTCCCAGCCCCAGGGAACTGGGGATGCTGGACAATAAATACATTCCTTTCAGGAAGCAAGACAAAGAGATTTGATGATATTGATTTAGTCCATAAGAGATGCTCATCAGCATGGAAAGGACAAGGCGTAACTATGCAATTTCAGTACAGTGGGTATTTCAGTTGTTTATTTTTCTTGCTTTTCTTTCCACTTGCTGTAAAAACAGGGGAAGTTTTGCAAATGAAAGTCTCATCCTCAAGCTCCTTTTGAGGGGCAACCATATGTTGCCAGCATCAGTGAAGGATGCAGGGATGCAACTCTGGAGTTGAATTTAGCTTCGAGTGGGAGCTGGTATCTTGCCCCAGCTGGTATTTGCCTCTGGGTCCAGTGTTTTATTCCCCTTTCCAGATACCCATATTTAAACAGTGCTATAGAAAGTGGTAACCCACAAGCAAACCAAATGCTCTTTGCTGGAGGTAGGTACTGAAATTGCATTTTTACAGTTTTTGAGAAAATAATGTGATCAAAGCAAGGACTTTGTTCATCACATGAAGTCTGATTGTTTGGTTAGAATAATGGCTTTTAATTATCTGCAGGCAGAAGCAGTTTGGCTGCTGCTGACACAGAGGACAAGCATGTGGGCTGTGACCATGTGTCGAATGGAGATCAGCACTGACTCCACTGAACACAAGATCAACACCCTGGAGAGTAAAAATCAGAGTAACAAATTTATTTCACATGTGTTTGTGATTAGACACAAAGACAAAAAGCTTAGGTGATATGCTGAATACTGATTAGGTCTGTGAAGTCCCAGTGCTGTGGTTAGTTCACAAAAAAAAAAAGAAATCTTTGTGAGTTTACATACCTCATTGTGCCACACAACCTTTTTTTGTTTTATTATCTCCAGTATCAGTCTCAACCTCTGCTTTTGAACAAAAGAGAGACACTAAATATATCTGATCATGGCAAGGCCAGGGTAACAACAGGGAACTGTTTATGATGAAAATACTATGTAGTAGCAGAGAGGTCCCTAAGAACACAGAATCTTTGAATGGTTTGGGTTGGAAGGGGCCTTAAAGATCATCTAGTTCCAACCCTCTTGATGCCATCCCTGGATGCCCAGGGAACCCTGTGGCTTTTGCAGGCTGGGGTCAGTTCTTAAGCCAGAAGTCCTAATTTCAGGTGTCAGGAAAGCATTGCCAGGGCTGGGAGCACAGGATGCTCCCATTGCTGCAGCTTCTGCTCCTCAGGAGAAGCAACTTCAGGAACCAACATTACAGGAAATCACTTCTCATTTGTGGCCTGTTTTTAACTAGGGGAAAGTGGCATGTTTAGAAATGTAAATTACTACAACCCTGCGGCATGCTGCATTAAAAGGGTAAGTCCCTCTGTGGTAGCTGCTCAGCCTATGCTGTCTTTCTCAGCAATGGGTATTCAAACCCTCCTTTCCTTTCTCCTTGAAAGGGAAAAATCAAGCATTGGTAAAAAGAGACTTTCCCATTTGCCTGCCCATTTGTTTGACCTCAGGATCTTGCAGTAAACAGGCTTTGGAAACTATATTTTAAGTTCTAAAGGGTTACAGACCCATCTGTCTTCCCTACGAGGCATCTACAATTTGGGATTAAGGTACTGACGCAGGGGTGGTAGGATCTAAAGGACCTGGACACTCTTCCCAGGACTGGCTGAGGACTTTTGGTAAGAAGAGGGGGGCCTGTGTGGCTTCAGGAGCTGAGCTCCCTCCCAGCCCCAGCAGGGCAGCCCAGGTGGAGGATGGATGATCCTTGGTGGAAGCATCAGCAAGATGCTCTTTTTCAGTGACTGACCCTTCCCCCTCCCTCTGCAGTGATGGTTTGAGGGCCTGATGTTTAGAAGCCACCTAAAGTACCCCTGGGGCAGGTTGTCAGGCAAAGTGCTGTTGCAATGAGGGGAAAAACCAAACAACCCCAAGGCAGCATTGATGTTGCTGCTTTTATGTGTTTATAAGTAGTTCAGAGGGGGTGATTGCTGATTAAGTACCAAGTATTAACTGCTCTTAATCACTGCTCTGGAGCCTAATGGAGCTCTTGTTTGCACATAACCATGCCTTGTAGCTGTCTTTAGCACACTTGACAGATGTGCTTATTGCCATTTTTACTGCATATGTGTAATGGGCTTTTGAATTATTGATTCATCATTACTCCTTTATAAACTACTTATATGTGTCACCAGAATGAACTATGCTTGGGTTTTTCTTTTTAAAGCTCTTTCAGGTTTGAAAAATATAATAGCTGCATGACACAGTGTGACTCTAGGGGCAGGGGGCATTGGGCCTTGAAGTGGAAAGAAACAGGTGTATACAAATATATCAGGAAGGTTCCCACATTTAAGTCAGTCCCCGAGAGCTATTTATAAAATAGGCTACCTGAGTAGCTTTTGCTGTGCCTCTTCTTCTTCTTCCTTTTCCCTGATGGCCTCTGCTTTTCCCTGTCGCTGTGAGTTTGCTCTGGGGGAAGTGTTGCTGAGCAAGAGGAGTCAGTGGCCGGCTCCTCTGAGAAGGACTTGTCTTGAGATGTGTCCAACAGCGAGTCTGTACCCGGGTCTTCATTTTCCTTGGTCATTTCTTTTGACTCTGCCTGCTGGGCATCACTGCAGGGAGCAGGCTGAGCACCCTCTGAGCCACCAGCTGGGCATTCCTTGTCCTGGCCTCCTGGCATGGACCCGTTAGTCCAGCTGAGCTGGTCTCTCAGAGCAGAGGCTGAAGTGCTGCTCACAAAGCTTATCCTTGTGCCTATGTCAGCCACAGAGAAGGCAAGGGAGCCACTCTTTGAGCTGGGCTGGAGGCTTTCCATGTTGTTTGACTGCTCCATCCCATGGCCCAGCGTGGTCTGACTGGCTCCATCAGCTTCCACCATGCTCTCTGAGGGGCTTTTGGTCTGGGACTCCAGTGGCAGACCTCCTCCAGCACTGTTTTCAGATACCTGGCCTGAAGCTGAAGCATTTGTAACACCTCCACCTGTCTCCATTGGGGCAGTGGTTGAGGGAGGAGTGCTTTCTGAGGGATGATCATCCTTGTTTTGCTTGGTCTTGTCATCAATCTGCTTCCTTGCTGCTTGTGGATCCTTCATGCTCTGTCCTTTAAACAGAAAACACACAATCAGCCACAGCTGAAGTTTAACCAGGAATGAGCCAAGATGCAGCTACCCTGCAGAGGTTACAGGTCAGCAGCTGCCTGTGGAGCGAGCACTGACCCTAAAGCAGCTATGCAGAGGCAGCGCCAGTTCATCCTCCCTGTACCTCCCCTCCTTATACCCATGTGGTCACCCTGGCTGGAGTCCAGGCTCCAGCTCAGCAAAGCCCCTGATTTGTTTTCAGCAGGTGTTAATGTGTCTTTGCTACAAAATGGCTGATTTCCATGGAGGCTCCGGGACTTGCAAGGAAGCCTGAAAGTCTACAGCAGAAGAGAGAACCTGCCTGTGAGGTCCTGGACCGGGCTGGACTGTTGGCTTGGCTGTGTGAGGACTTCAAGTCTGCCCATCAGCCAGCCTTAACCTGCCCTTGCAGAGCAGGTCTAGCAGAGCCATGGACAGACCAATGTCCTTGGATTTGCAAACTGCAAATGAGACACTGAGGTCAAGAGACCAAAGTAAAGATAAACCCATGGGCTGTCTCCTCACAAGCACCTAAAGGACTTGGGTACTTCTGCAAATAGGGTTTCTTATCTTTTTTAAAGGGTTTCTTCAGTCTCACAAGTGTAGACTAAGATGGGAGGCAGCAGTCTCCAAGACAGAAACACAGTGCTACTGAGATTTGAGAGCATGCAGGGAACTTGTGTGGGGTATAACAGCAGTGCCCCATCAGCATGGTGCCATGGCTGACACGGGGGTCAAGCATCTCAGAGGGTTTATCAACACAGATGCAGGGCCATGCTGCTCCAAATTCCTGCTAATTTTGGGACAGACATGGCTAGCAACAGCTCAAGGCTTTCTGCTCCTCTTCTCCTTGGCACTGGCTGCAAAGCCTTTTTAAATAAATGCCCCAAATACAAACACAGAAGTTTCTCACTGGTGCATGCTTGGCTCAGAGGCAGATGGGAATGAATAGCTGCAGGTACAGTCAGGTCTGTGTCCTTACCAGACTGGCTTTCCTCTGGGCTCTCTGCAGACAAGGGTTTAGGAACTGCCTCGGCCTCGTGTCTGTTCTTCGTCTTCCTCAGCGTGAACCCTTTCCTGATGTCGGCGAGCAGGGCGTCGATGACACACACCTCCTCCTGCTTCACCAGCCCCTTCTTGACTGGGGGAGAGAGATGGGTGTTACACCTGTCCCTGAGACAGGCCAGGAGCAGACTGCAGGGATGCCACTGCTGGAGGCGGCTCCTGCAGCCACCGGGCAGGAGCAAGGCACCCACAGCAGACCTGGGAGCAGCCAGTGCTCTGTGATCCCACAGCAGCCCATCCTGGTGAACACAAGGGATTTGCTCCCAAGTCCAGGTGCTACAGCCTGGCACCAGCTCTGCCTGGATATGTCCCTGGCTGTTCCATGACCGTGAAATATTCTGTTTGTTATCAATGTTGGTGGGAAACATTTTTTTCTTTTTTTGAGGAAAAATAACTTTGATTTTTCTTTCCTCTCAGCTTCTTGCAATTACATTTTTCAGCCTTTCATTTTCATCCAGAAGAAGGCATATTTAAGCAACATGTAAGATTTTTGGGACAACTGTGGTGAAGAGAGACTATTCAAGTGTATATGAGGACCTTGGATGGTGGATAAGTCAAATGTTTCTTTTTAGATTTGGGATTCAAAAGTTATGTTTAGAAACTGGAAAAGTTAACTGAAATGTTTAATTTGTGGTGATTTTCTTTCTTCTTTGCTGTTCAGTCAGCAAACCTAAAATTAACTTCTCTGCCCAGCTGCAACTGTGGAAAGTCAATTCTTAGCTATGGCTGTAAGACACCTAAAAGCCTTTAGTCAGCCAGCACCTAGAAACCTACAAAATAAATTACCACTACTGGTCCATTAAAGCAGGGCCAAAGAGCTCCTATGGCTCCATCTCTATTTTTTGAAGCCATTTCAGATACTCACTGACTTTTCCATTTTCTCCCTTCTGTCTCTTCCCCTCTTCCTCTTCTAGCTGTTTTTTCCTCTTCTCTGCTTTGGCAGCTTGCTCCTTTCTGTCCTTGTTTTCCTGCAGGAAGGTAACAGTGGCATGAGAAGGTTGGGCAAATGTCTGCTGAAGAAGCTGATGAAGAGAAAGGAGATCTAGAGATGAAGGAAGAGAAATCCTGGCTTCGTCATGTGCAATAAATAAAATGGGCATTGGGAATAAGGGCTGTCTTACCAAAATGGTGAGAGGGGACTGCTGACTTGGCCATGCTCTGCCACATCCCAGTCAGAGGTAGCAGTGGTGATGTGCCTCACACAGCTACCTGCACTGTGCTCACCTGCCTGACCTCTAGCTGAGGTGAAAGTGGGAGATACTGAAGCCACAGCATTTTCCAAACAGGTGGCTTTTTTACTACATATCCCCCCTCTGAGCCTGTTTGCTCAGGCTGGAGCAAAGGGTTAAGTTTTGTAAGCCTCTTTCTCTAAAACTTGCACACTTGGCCCAAAAGCATCTTTGTGACTGACTCTAAAGCTAAAGTTGCAAGAAAATCACAAATGCCTGGTGTTTGGGCCAGGCCCAGCAGCACCAGAACTGCATGAGGATGCAGTGGAGAAGGGATCAGACACCACTTCACTGGGAGACCTGATGCCAAGTGCCAAAAGGAGGAGGCTGTAACCAGTTCCCCCCCGGACTGGGGTGCCCATCCCACCCCTGTCCATTGGAATGGAGGCAGCTTCCAGCACTAGGGATGCTCCTGTTTGCAGGTGCCAACCTTCAGGGCTCGGATGAAGAGATCTCTGAAGGTCTTCATGATGCTAAATATGTCCTCTAAGGACAACTTGCTTGGATCTTCACAGAGATAATTTGCAAGTTCCTCTCTCTTCTTTTCAATGGTTTCAAATTCTTCTTCCAGCTTTCTGGAGGCATCAATGCTGTCCTGAAATGCATTAAAAGCACACAGTAAAACACCATCCAGAGGACAACGACTGAAGTGCACTCACAGAGAAAGGATTAGAGCTTAGAGCAGGACTCTGGGTCCTGGCTTTTAACTGCAGCAGAGCTTTTGGGAAGCAGGTGAGAAGAAATAAGATTTTCAGATGATCTTTGCTCTTGGCAACTGTGCTGTACCAATTTATAGGGCAGTCTGGCTTGAGCAAGCTCCATGCAAAGCTTAATCCCAAGCAAAGGGCTCCACTCTGGAGATCCACACACAAGATGCCCATCTTCTCTTAAAGTGAGGAGTCACACAGAAGCACGGACAGAGCAGCTGGGGCACACACCCTAAGAAGTGGCCTCACCAAAGATATCTAGGTTTGGGGTGCAGCTGCCAAATGTACATTTTGGTTGTGTGGCACTGCAGCCTATTTCCAAATTTGAGAGCATGTCTTGTGGCAATATTTTCTCCCCTCTCGTGAGGCTCCTCAGCTGCAGATGTACCATGCACCACCTCTCAATGTGTAATGGGGGAGATCTAAGGCAGCTCCATTACTGACCTGGATGGGTTTCTCATACTGTTGTTTCACATCCTCATTTGATGATAAGACTTTCCGCTGAAGCTCCAGCAACTTCTTTAAATTGGTACCAGACTCCGTGCGTATAATATCAAGATTAATTCTGAAATCACACAGAACCCTGCCATTAGCTGACACTCCAGCATTTTGAGCTGACCAAGGAATGGATAAGTCTGAAGTGATGGTTTGGTCACCCCTTTGCTTCCCACCACTTCACTGAACTGAACCCTGTGCTCTGAACTTTCTATACAGTGCAAGTTCATGGAAACCAGCTTCCTCCCACAGTACTTATGGAAAAGCTGCCAGGCCTTCCTACAATTCTGTGTATTGGATAGATGAATGCCAAAAAAAGCCCACCTGCTCAAAGGCTGTTCTCCACCTGTGCTCAGCACTAGCTCACTTCCCCTGCCTGGAGGTACTTCAGAACTGTCTGGGTAGCTGACCTCCACCAGCTCCTACCACCACAAAAGCAGTGCACATTTCAGAAGGGTCTGGGAGGCAGTTTTAACTGACTGCTCTGCAAATTTCAGCCCTAAGTGTTGCCAGCTGTAGTAGAATTATTATATATTAAAGGGCTTTCAACATTCATCAGCCAAATCTTTCAGTTATAACTATGTAAGATGCCATCTTGTTAATCTCTGTACCAGCTGTGTGTGTCCTAATTTCTGGTACATTGTTGATGTGCATGGGATTTATTTTTGTTTTTAATTCAAAGGAAGTGACACACAATTTTACCCTGCTGCTTTTGAAACATATTCAAGATCCTTTGGCAGTTCCAGTAGGTCCTTGTGGCTGTTTTCTACTTCCTGAAGAGGAAGAAAGAAAGAAGTGTTATTTGGTGTGTGGCAGGAGCCGAGGGGAAGCTGGGGGAAAGACACATGGACAGAAGTGTCCAGGAAGGATGACTGTGCTGTGTTCTGCTACTGCCCCCCTGTCTGCAGTTTACACATTCAGAGAGGAAAGGCGTTTCCCCTGGCTATAAAAACACAGAAGAACGCTGAACCCTCAGAAATACTCGTAGTTCAAAGCAAAGCAGAGCTCTTCTTGAGCATGGAGGGGAGCAAGACTATGGTTTGATGTAATCTGACACTTCCCACAGTCCCAGAAGGACACTAAAAGGCCTTGAATCTTGCATTCTTTACTTTCACAGCTGTCCTTGCTGAAGCCACTGCCAGCTACAGCGGGGCTTGAACACGCATTACTGAAACCAAGGGACACTGATGAATGAAGATGGCAGAGCAAAACATGGAGAAAAAAGATAAAAACATCATTGCAGGGAATAGGAAAACCATGGGGGCTTGGAGAGAAGCATGAAAAGCCTGAGCACAGTTTGGAGGAAAAGGGAAAGTCCATGGAAAGGCAGAAAGGCTGAATGGGTACAGATGAGCCAGGACAGCTTTGTGCTCTGTAGTTTGCAGCTGCTGATGCGCAGATTGCACAAATATGACAGGAAGTTGCAGACACTGTGGGAAAAGATGCTGGAGGGAAGCAGATCAAGTCTTAAAATAAGGAGTAGTGCCCACAAGCAGCCTCCACCAGAGTCACCAAAGTGATTCAAATTCTCCTGACTTGTGACACTCTGGGGCTTGCCAGAGAGGATATGAGTATGAGCATGTGGCATTAGCTAACAGCAGAGTAGGAGAAATGTTTCATCTGTGGTAAAACCCTCCCTCTTCCCTACTGTGCAGGACTTGGCAGTGGTACCTCTAGAATATGGTGGAGCAGTGTAATGCGGGTTTGGTTGGCTTTGGTTTCTGTTAGTTTGAGTAAAGTGCTGATTTTAAACCCATCGGCATCGCCTGTGTGACTTCCCTACAAGAGAGAAAAAAAGCAGATGTAACTCCTGTGTCCATCCAAATTACAACCCTAAAGGAGATCATTCACAGACTGTAATGGGGGGAGGAGAAGACAAAAAAAGTCCTTACGTAGTTCAGGAAGTTTCCAACTTTAAGAATCAGTTGACAAAAGACTGGCAGGCGATGACTGGTTAGAAGATCTGAAAAACATAAAGGACTTTTAAGCAAAAGCCTCTGTTACACCAGAACATTTCCTAAACTGCATTGAAATTGGAATTCTGAATTCCACTAAATCAAATTTGGTATTTTGGCTTTGCAGCCCAATGCCCAACCGGCAGAGAAACTGATTCCATGCAGATTCAGTTCCATGGGTTGTCAAAGTCTTTGTTGACTTATGTTTTTTTCTTTACATCTGGTCTCTCATTTCCTAATGGCAAATAACCTGCAGTTGGACCTTCCTCACTGACAGCAATCAAGGTCCTGCCTTCCTTCCAAGTTTCCCAGTGTGGGCAAGGGTAACTGGGCTGCAAATTGAATCTTGCCATCTTTATTTAACTGTTGCTGTGAAGCCAGTTCTGACTGCACTACGATCACCTGCCAGCTGCTAAAACCAGACAGGCTCACCCCGTTCCTGGTGTCTCATGGTAGAGGTGATTATTGACCAGGCATGAAGAGTACAGTCCCTGTCCTTGCTCTTACGACAGGGTGCTGCAGTGCTGTGCTTTCTGAAGCACTCAGCTTTGAGGCAGGAGCAGCTCCAAAAGAACAAGTGGGCTGCTGAGAAGTCACTTCGGGGGAAGCTTCAATTTATCCCAGCAAACAGCTGTAATGCCAGCTGGAGAAAACCCCAGCAGGAGTTGGGGGAACTGGCCCTGTAGGACAGGTGACACTTGACAGTGCCAAGAAGAGCACACTGCTCTCAGGAGTGGGACCAAAGGTTTCTGCCATAGGAAGCCAAAATCTATTGCATAAACTTTCTGTGTACTCAGCATATTGGAGCATCAGCAATTTATAACCCAAAATAACAACCTTTTTCTTCTGGTTCCATTTCTAGGCAGAGAAATACTAAAGCATCGCTGCTTTTGGGGGAAGTTTTCTGGCAGAAGAGAAAATTGCTGTATGAAGTTCTTAATTTGGGAAATAATGCTGGATGGATGAATTAGCTGCAGCAGGGCCAGCTCTGCTGTCTAAATTCAGCTCCTTTGAAAGGGCTGATGAACTTCAGCACTTCACCATTCAAAGTGTTTCAGGGGAATACATCTGCTGCAGAGAAAAAGGGGTGAGAATGAGAGAATATAATCTTTGGTCCTGTTACAGGCTTTGACCATCAGTGGAGATACCTGAAGTTGCATCCCATTTGCAGCAAACCAGTGAATGGACCACACAGGAGCTCTTTGGGGTTTGGGTAGTAATACTGCAGAGCTCCAGGGGAGTTCTGTGGGGGTTGAAATTTCCTGTCTTAAATCAGACCCAGAAATAAGCTGAGGTCATCTGTACCTTCACAGGCTCTCCGGATGGCTTCAGCTTTGGGCTGAATCATGTCGAGCACGACGGTGGTCTCTTCACAGATCAGCATACACTCAATGCGCAGCTGGTAGCTGAGGGTGGAGATGGATTCTCAGCATGAAGGCACTGGGATCTCAGCCAGCACAGCAGCCTCTTGCCCACATCACCAGCAAGCCCATGCCACCCCACAGTGCTGTCAGCCACATCCACACCAAACCACTGGTGTGGCCTGTGGAGGGAGGTGAGGGGCTGCTGCTGGCCCCGGGGACCAGCAGGAATGTAGGTTCTGCTGGTGCATTGTGATCAGCAAAGAGAAGAGATTCCCCTTCTTGGCACTGCTTCCCCTTCTTCACACTGCCTTTCACTAAGTTATGGAGCCTCCTTGGGCAGATCTGACCCTGAGTCTGGGCCAGCTTCAGCTGCGTCAGAGGGAGAGGACGTGCTGGATCAGGAAGAGCCCTTCATCCAAGGGTAAGAGGGAAAGGGATAGCTCCAAGGTGGAAGGGGGAATCCACCAGCTACATCCATCAGTGTTGGTCTGTGAGGCTCCTATAAAGAAATTTAAACTTCCCAGAGGTAAATCAAGAAAGAGATTGGGCTGAAGGACTAACAACCTTACCTGGGAATCTGAAGGAGGAGAAGATAGAACTGATCTGCATTTGCTAGCTTTGATTTCTCTTCTTTGAAGGCCTTCAGGTTTTCTATCTAATGAGAAATAAAGAATCAAGGCTGCAGGGCTGCTCTATGTGTTCAGCTCTGTGAACCAAGGGTAGTGTTTTCCTCCTGACCTCATGCTTTTCAGGCAGCAGCTTCAGCAACTGCTTCAGAACCTCCACATCAAACTTGGTCCGGTCCCCATTCTGGATCATGGCAGTCACCTCTTCATTGGAGCTGCAGGGAGGAGGAGCAGAGCCAGCCATCAACCAAAGACCACTTTTCAACTATCACACACTACCAAGAGATTTATCTGTGCAAGCATTCTCTGCTTTCCCTAGTAAAGAATCACAATAATCCAAAAGGAAAGGGATCTCCCCACAATTAACTTAGAATCAGGACCTGGATCTCTGCTATGACCCAAATCTTATTTCTGGCCCTGATCAAATGATTGAAGGACAGAGATGAATCCTGCAACTGAGATCCTGTCTCTGAGCATTTTTTTATCTTAAAAGAAAATGGAACTCTTCATATGTCCATTGGCCCTGATTTGAGGAGGGATTTGACCTCCAGGTGTGTCTCACAGTCTGTGTCACCCTAAGAGTCTGTGCCACAACTTTATCTCTAAAATGGACATGTAACTCCTTTGCCAACATATGGGGAAGTTGTATGTAAAAACATAATTAAACACCTAAACTCATTATTTTAAAGACAGTGTAGGACAAAATGGGGAATGTTCAGATGATTTAGTAGCATGGGCCACCAAAGCACATTGGCTAGAAGAGATTTCATGAGGACCTTCCAGATACTGCAAACCCTGCTCGAAGTTTTGTCAACTGTCACGAAAACTGGCCATATCTTACCATTTAAATTGCTTCAAAAATATGTTCAAATTGAGACTTTTCTTGGAGTCCAAAAATGTGATCTTCATTAAAGAAAAAGAAGATATCTCATATTAGATGAGCTGTCTGCAGGGATCTTTACTTGAAAAAACGAGGGGGTCTCCTCACCTCCTTCGGCTCTGCCTTCACTGGTGCTGCTGTCTTCTCCTTGGGGGTTGGCTGTGGGAAGCAGAACAGCTGCTCAATACTGCTGTAATTGGGCTCTATCGTTTCCTCACTGCTGCTGCTCACAGAAGCCCACATTGAGTGGCTCTCTGAAAGAAAGAAAAAGTTCAGACTGGCTGCAGGGACGGCTGAAAGCTCCTGGTGCCTGGGACAAGGTGAGCTGCCAGCAGGGACACTCTTCTGAAGGTGAATGAAGTAAGAAGAGACATATTAGTCTCTTAATATGACATATTTATCCATATTAGTCCTGGACAAATGGTCATTATTGAGGAGGGGCAAGTGCTACAGGTGGGATCCAAAGGGGCTGAAGGGCAATTAACCTGGTAGGGAGAGGCAGCACTGGGCACACAGAGGCTGTACAGCCCCATCCCTCCCTGTAGAACTGTCTTCTCCTCCATGGTGGATAAACTGGATCAGCATGACATTTTGTTTCTAGTTCCCTGGTTGATATTATTTTTGCTTCCTTGCATCCTAACAGAGGAACTGGACACAACTTGGGACATTATCTGACTGTGTCCTTCTCCATTTTTCATTTTATACTCAAGTCTCCTTGTATAATGCTGGCTATAAGACTGCTTGAATTGATTTCTACTGCAATTTCTTATATCTTAAAAAAAAAAATCATGACCCTAACATGCCTGTAGAAGCCTCTGCTGAAATAATCCCAACATTTTACTGCTCTTGTGATTGAAGACATGCCTTATTTAGATTTCACCTCTGCTTACTTTCATGCAGTGGATGCCTTGCTTGTCTAGGACAAAGCTGACACAGCTTTTCCAAGCTTCTTCTCACATTTCATGCTCTACTTTGAATCCACTAGTAGAGGGAAATGTAACCCAAAAATCAAGAGATATGTGATGTGATCCTCACATGCACTCTTACTCATGACTTCAATATACCCAGATACAAGCATAGATGAGCTGGGTAATAAAAGTTTGGGGAAGTCAGAGCAGAGCCTGATCTAAGGCACGTCATAATGAATTAGGAAAATATTCCTATCCCTTTCTCTTAAGTTCAAAGTATTTTTGTTATAAACAAACTATTCCAAAGTACTAATTCAGTTGGAATAGTTACTATTGCATTAGTAGTTTCATGTTACTTTTATATCAGCTCTGTAGGTCAAAAGTAAAGGAAATCAGGAAGTTCTGTATCTAAACAGTCAATCACATCTGACAAACTTTAAGATAGTATTTCTTCCCCTGGGAAGCAAAAGCAGCAGTGTAAAGCACCCCTAAAGCAGCAGTGACTTTATGCCAGAAGCACACACCTCTCACCACGTTGGAGGGCAGCTTCTGCCAGTTCAGCTTCTTCATTCTCAGCGTTGGTGTCTTCACTGCCTTGTGGGGAGGCCTGCCCAAGCCCAGGGGGCAGCTGTACTGGGAGGCCACCACGGCTTCTATGTGATCCCCTGTCATGCCAGGAAGGAGGGGTGGAGGGGGAGGGATGCCACCCATGCCAGGCAATGGAGGTGGAGGGGGTGGGATACCAACCATGCCAGGTAATGGGGGTGGAGGGGGTGGGAGACCACCCATGCCAGGTAAGGGAGGTGGAGGGGGTGGGATACCAACCATGCCAGGCAGTGGGGGTGGAGGAGGAGGGATACCAACCATGCCAGGCAGTGGGGGTGGAGGAGGAGGGATACCAACCATGCCAGGCAGTGGGGGTGGAGGAGGAGGGATACCAACCATGCCAGGCAGTGGGGGTGGAGGAGGAGGAATGCCCCCCATGCCAGGCAATGGTGGAGGAGGCGGAGGAGGGGGAATATCCCCCATGCCAGGCAGTGGGGGTGGAGGGGGAGGGATGCCAGGGAGTGGAGGGGCTGGAGGTGTGTTTGTCATGGGGGATGAGGGGGTCATGGCTGCTGTGCCAGAGGGTGGAGGTGGTGGGGCTGGAGGTGCTGGGTTGGCAGCAGTGTTGGAGGGAGGGTTAGATTTCTCTGGCAGAGCACAGCAGGCTGTGAACTGGCAGGATAAGATCTTCTTTTCGCTGTCCAATGGCCCTGAGGATGTTGCTGGTGCCCTGGTGGGGTTTGATGATCCCACTGGACACCGAGCTGCACGTGCACATGGCTCTGGCTCAGCCTGGACACCTCCAGCTGCGCTCCCAGACAGGCGGTTTTCAGCTCGCTTTTGCTTGTTTGGATGTTTTTTGATAGACAGCAGCCTCTCAATGACTTCTTCAACTGTGTTCCCTTGGACTAGAGAAATGAGTCAGTGTAAGGGAAGGGAATGAGGCCCACAGGCTGGTTCATGCTGTTCAGCCCTCACCAAGCAGTAGATCTGGAGCCATGGAGAGTCCATTTCCTGGTGTCACTTTACACAATTACACTTCTGACTTCCAGGCAATTTCCTTCCCATGTGCCCAGCCCACAAACACTTTATAGCACGCCTGCCAGCAAGACAGGCCAGCACCAGTGGCAGGAGGCCAGTGAGGACAGATTCCCACTGACTCCCATGAGCCAAAGCTCAGGGATTAACCATTAAAACAAGACTGGGAATCCCAAGCCCACTGCTAAATGTGGCCACCCACAGGGATGAAGATTCACTTGACCTTATACAGAAGGTATAGCTTTGTCTCAGCTTCTGTTCAGCTCTTACCAAGTCCCACAGATTACTTCCTGCACATTGGGGAAAGACTTTTATGGGACAAGGGAAAACAAGAGGAGTGTGCAAGGCTGGATGGATGTGTCATTCTTACTGTCATTGGCGAGTAAAAGGGCTCTGTTCACTACGGCATCCAAGGACTCCCAGAGCAGGAGGCTGGAGTGATGAGAGGGTTCCAAGTGCAGCAGGCTCTGCAGGATGGACAGCAGCTGGACAGAGACTGGAGAGCGGCTCACCTGGAAGACAGAGCAGCTTCTGTCACAGCAGGGCTGGCTCCCAGCAAAGTGGATTAACTTTGCCATTGTGTGAGGGGCACCCCATGCGAGGGGCAACTTACTTTGTTGAAGAGAGATGAAAAGACCTCATGATGATCATTCATGTTTATGCCATCACATATCCTTAGTAATTCCTCATCATCCTCTATTTTGAACTCCTCAAATGTGTCACACTGGATAAGCAGATCCTCCTCCTCGATGTCTCTGCAATATTACAGCATTTGTTTTCAGTGGAGAGCCCTTCACTAATTTTCAGATGACTGTTTTTGTAAAATGGCTTTTATCTCTTTGCCTCTCAGACTCAGCCAGTTGGTGTTGAAAGTACCCAGCTCTGCCTGATCTATAAAGGAGGAGATGCCACCAGTGCATCCCTTCTTGAACTGAATGTACCTCTTCCTACAATCAACACATAGAAAGAAATGGGACTTCTCATGGCATAATCTGGCCCAGCACAGGCTTGCTATGGAATTCTTGGAGTAGTAACAACAGAGTGGCATTCCAACCTTTTCCAAACCAGGCCACCACCTTAATTTTTTTAAAGCCAAGACTAATTGAAAATACTCCAATTTTGGAATATTGTCAATTAGTCTTGACTATAATTTGGAAATGATATATAATTTCAAATAATTCCAAATATACATTATACATATTTGATATACATATGATATATATTATATAAAAATATAAATAAATATATCTATATATCTATATATATATAAATTAAGCAGAGATTTCAAATAATTCCAAATTTGGAATATGATGTTTCTGTTTGAAAAACCTCCTTCTCTGTTACTGAAAACTGGATTTTAAAAAACTGACTTTTTCAGCACTCTCAAGACTCCTCAGTGTTAGAATTTTACAGTTGCTGCTCTAATAAAAGATTTCCTCTTCCCTAATGTTGGATGGAGCAATTTCATGGATACATGGATAACTCAGATAAACTGCATTCTAGAATTTATCACAGATGTTTCCCATAGAACATAATTTTTAAATTTCATTCAGCTATGCATTAGTAAATTGTTTTAGCTGGTTGCTTCTGGGACCAACAGCAGCAGTGAAGGGGTGCTGAACACAGTGAGCTGCTCAGTGAGCCCACAGCACTGCTTCAGATTCAGTCTGAAACAGCCTCAATGAGGACACTGCTACTCCATCTGTGCCCAGAGCCTGTGTGCGTGCCATCTGTGCCAACAGCTGTCCCCGTGACACTGTGGTTGGCAAGAGCATCTCAACACTGGCCAAATGCTTCTGGCTCCCATGGAATGGGTGCATACAAGCATGGTCCACTCCACCCAAGCACACTGCACTTCACACAACAGAAGGCTGGATAAGTATTAAGTTTCCAAAGCTACTTCACTGTGAATCTCATTAAAAAAAAAAAATTAAGCAGAGATTCTTACCTTAGCTTGTCTAAAACATCCAACAGCTGCAGCCCTGGCAGGTGAAAAAAATAAATATAGTTGCATTATGACCCACTTGGTGCTTATTTGTTAACACCTTTATATATGTTATGCTCATAAAAACTTTTTGTAGGGAGAAAAAGTGAAAATATCTTCAGATGGATCTATCAAAGTGGGCAGAGTCATCTGTTAAATGATGAGACACCACAGCACACATCTGCAGCACCTGTGTGAACCACTGCACAATCCCCCTGGGGTTATTGAGTGACACAGGCACTTTTGAGGCACTCAGTCCAAGTACATATCTAAAATCAGTCTGATACAGTGGAATGCTCCTTGGTCTCCATGGAGAGAAATGGAGCCCAGGCTCACCAACTCAAATGCACCCAGCATGTGAGGTGAATCCCAACAATGGTACCTAGGAGCCTGGGATTCTAGCAGTTGGAAAGTTCTGAACCATGGGAAAGCCTCTGTGGCTCAACTGAGTAGACACAGAGTGCAGAAACTTTATCAACTCTCACAAGGAGTTGCAATATATGGAAATGTGGCCATATAAGATGATTGGTTATAGAAATATTCTGAAGAAGCTCAAGTGATACAGTGCTGCTGGGATTCCAGAAAAGATCAAAGCTATGGGAAAGCAGCAAAGTTTAAAAAAAAATCTGTTGACAGAAAGGATGTTGAGAATAAAGGTCAAAAGAAAGAAGAAAATTAATATTTGCACTTTTGCTCCCCAGCCTCTTCAGGCACCTTATGGATTCATCTGAAAAAAACCCATTTGGTAACTGACTTTCTCCAGAGAAAGGTCTAACAAACATCCTTACCTATGAACTCGTTTCTGATTTGTGTCCTTGTTCTTAGCTCTTCTTTGCCCAGGATGATGGCATTGATGGCACTCAGCAGTGTCACCATGTAGGGCACGTTGTCTGTGTTGGACAGCTCGTTCATGATGATGCTGAACCGATACTGCTGGTTCTTCACACTCTGTGGGTAACACAACTGATATTATGAAAGAATGGTCTATACAGACATAAATGCCCATGAGCGTGGTGCAGGCTCTCAGATGGAATCAGCATGTGAAATCCTCAGTTTATCCCACTGTGCACAGGAAGGCAGACGGGTAAAAGCAGCACTCCTCCATTACGGAGCAGGGGCTGGTTGGCACAGAAGGTGATTGAAAACACTCTTGGACTCCTTTGTGCTTTCTGGCAACTGATGCATGTACCTGAGCTCGTGGGCAGTGAAACCTGTGGATGTGGCACCATTTATTCTGCTGATCTGGTGGTGCTTCTGCTGCCAGAAAGCACCTTGAGGGTGGCAGTCATCTGTCTACAGAAATCAGAGAACAGCACCATAGACCTACACTGACCACAAAAAACTCCCAACAGCTTTCACTTTATAAACCCCTACTTCTCTTACCAAAACAATGCAAAATAAGCTTTATTCCCACCCTTTTCTCTGGTACATGGATCTGTCTGCATGGATCAAAGCTGAGCCATTCCTTCTGCTCCAACCAAACACTTGCCTTGTAATGGTCCAAAGCATCCAGAGCCAAAGAGTGGCCATCTGATGAGTAAATGCACAGTGCAGCCAGGAGCTCAAATATTTGCTTTTTGACCATGACATTAGTTGTGTCAAGTGCTGTAGGAAAAACAGAACAAAACAAAGCAGAATTTATAATGACATTAATGTTCTGAATCTCAGTGTCTTCTGCTACATGAATTACGAGCAGTAGTAGAAAAGAGACTGAAGGAGGGGACCCATTACAACGAAAGATGGGAAGAGAAATATCTTAATGTACAGATATCCCATCCCAATAGCATTATGGGATGGTAACTTCTAGTGGGAACAGTAAATGCTACAGGTATCCCTTTGGCATTTTTGTGCAGCTTGTAGTTATTAATCTTTTCCATGTCCAGTGACATGCTGCAACAGCAGCCAAGATTTTTCAGCACTCATGAAATTTATTTCCCATTTTCACATCTGGGTATTTTCTAGAACAGCAGATGAACAATTTTCTTTGATTAATGACAGTTATTTTTTGTGTAGAAAAGCTCAATATGCATATGAGTTAGAGCAATTGTTCCAGTGGGTCCCATGTATTCCCTTTCTGCACTATTTCTCTGTGAGCCCTGGGAGCTGGGAGGGAGTGCATTAGGCTGTCTTATTTTTCCTATATTAGAGCACAAAGAAGCTCCAACACTGAAAACCCAGGATATACCCCCATTTTCACAATACAAAAATTCCAGTTCCATATTTTATATAGGCTAAGAAAACACAGGGTGAAGAGGAAAGAAGGGGACTTCAAAACTGAAGGGGGAAGCTAGTCAGCTTTCAAACCAAATGCATTTTAAAAAGCTATTAATAAGGGTTTCTGGGAACAGAAGTTATCCTTCCAGCACCACTAAGTGCTGTACAGTAAGTCTTACAAGATGCCCTGATGAATTTCCAATCTAATGATGAGCCAAGTGAATGGCAGGAGAATGTAAGTGGTGTTACCCACCATCTTCCAGGAGGAGCAGAGTGAGCAGCACAGAGAGCAGGCTCTCTTGAGTCCAAACATGCCACTTTCCCTCCTCTTTACAGGCCACAAGACTCCAAGCCCTTTCAGTTCCTCTCCTCTGCCCTTGGGGCTCTCAAAGACTGAATAGCAAATGTCTGCTGACAACCAAAGGGTTGAAGATGTCTCATGCCTGCATACAGATAAGGCTGGGTTTATCCCCAGCTTCACAGCAAACTATGACAATATTCGTGTGGAAATGGCAATGTGATTTCATAGCAGTTTTATTTTAAAGAAGAAAACAATCTCATTAATCACTTGTGACCAACTATTTCCAACTAGCCTGGTGCAGGGCAGGAGGATAAGCAACAGGGAAGTTATCTGCATATGATGCAGACAATGGATGCATCATATCCCCAGTGCTGCATGTGATGGATGAAGTAGGAAGGTGTTTTCTCACCTTGGAAGAGTTTCCTGACGTAGCCCTCATTGCTCACAATGTATTCTATGCCCTTGTGGGAGTTCATGACTGCCCGCACACAGCTAATGCAGGTGAGCTGAAGCAAGGCATCGGATATCCTGGCCACTCCTCGCCCTGACAGCCTGTCCAGGGCCTCCAGGAGGAGATCCAACCCAGACAGCTCCAGGAACTGGACCATCCAGGCATCATCACTGTTCTCCAGCCTCTTCTTCAGCCCGGAGTAGTTCACCACTGAGGGCATTTGCAGGAGACGGATGCACAGCTCTGGCTCTGCATTTTCCAGGTTGGCCTCTGACTGGTCGGTCTCCTGGGGTCCGAGTTTCTCCTTCAGGGCAGCCCACTTCTTGTGGGCACCTTCCTTTTTGACTGACATGGTGAATGGTTTGTTCTGAAAGAAAAGGAAAAGCCGAAGTGAGAAGTTTGTCTGGACTGACCAAAAATGATCCAGTAGCCCTGCTTTTTACCCAGTAATTGGGATGTAAAGGTCCCAGCTCTCCAGCATGCAGGGAACACACTGGAACCAGTTCTCTGTTGAAGAAACTCAATATATCCCCACCTTAACCACACACATTACTTTCAGGCTCTTAAGACTCTGTGGAGAGACTTTTAGCACATCCAAGCCAGCAAATACAGCTTTAAAAGTAGCCAATTTGCACCAGTCAATTGCCACTACTTGTTTTCATGCAGTGAAAGGAAAAGGTTGGAAGCAGCATTATCAGCTCTGAACTCCTAATGCCCATTAAACCACTTCAAAATCTCACTGTACTGGAGAGGCTGTGCAGTTTCTAAGCATTTGTAATGGGATGGAGAAATCATTTTTAGCATATCCTGCTCACAAGAGCATCTGATTACCCTGTTCCTTTTTCGCTTTTGTTTCTTTTGACTGATGTTGAGGTTAATTTTATAGCACTCACTTAATCCCTTCCTGTCTGCTGTAATAGCAAATATGTTTGTACACATGGTGTTTATGCCTGATAATGTGAGAGGCTGACAGGCTGTGAGTGCAGGTACAGCAGCAGGAGGCTGGCTACAGAAACAGCAGAGCACTTTTTTGGAGATGGGGAGCAATGGCCCGTCTCCCTGGAGGACATGGCCTGCCCAGACAGGCCATCAGCAGCAAGGAAGGCCAGGAACTGATTCAGCACACAGAAACTGCAAAGCCAAGTGTAACTCTTGGTGACAGATTTTATGGTTTTAGGCAGGATTATTATTTTTCAGACTCACAGGGATCAAGTCACACAACACAGGTCCTTTTCAAGGCTGCATGCAATGGTTTTGGCCACTGAGATTAGCTCAGAGCTAATAATGCCAAGGCTGTGGATTTGACCCCCATATGGGTCTTTCACTTAAGAGTTGGATTTGATGATCCTTGTGGGTCCCTTCCAACCCAGAATATTCTGTGGATCTCTGATTCTGCTTTAAAGCTGAATTACTCCCATGGATGACAGCTTGCCCACAAAAATTGATGCTATCTCCCTGTCCTGCCATACCACCAGTACCTCTGTTCCCCGGGGCTGCTGAGCCTGCAAAGAGCTCAAAATAACCTGGGGCCAGTTGGCCCCAAAATTCAGCAGTTAGGGGACTGAAGGGATTATGGGAGATTCTTATTTTCCCTTCCCAGCTCGAGCACAAGGCTTTCTAGCCCAACAGTGACAAGAAAAAATGCTTGAAAAATCTAAACTAAGTAATCTCTGGAAGGTTTTGTTTCCAGAAAGCCAACATACAGCATAGACCCTTTACACTGGTTGGAAAAAGAATCTCATTTTAAAGCCTGCCTTGTGATTTTTCCTGGGGACTGTGCCATTGAGAAAGGTCCTGGCTCCTTCCCTGCAGCAGAGCTGCATGGCTTCTGTTTTACCCAAAGAATCATTTTGGCAATGTCCCCTTGGCAAATATACAGCCAAAAGATTTGCTCACTGATTAGTGACAGGCATGGTATTATAGGCCTCAATATGCCTCTTGGAAAGATGCAAAGTGTGATGGGGTAGGACACTTGAAAAATTTCCCTGAGAAAATGTGATGGTGGGACTTTCTGGCAGCCCACAGCATCAAAGTCTGCATTGAGAGGTCAGAGAGTTAGCAGGATACGGTGACAGAAAATTCTTTTAGAGAGCTCTGGAGAAACCCTCTTGCAGAGTTTTCTTTTGCTTCAATGGGAAAGAAGCTGGCCAAGCACCCAGCTGCTCCCTGTTCTGTTAGCTGAAAAAATGATGGTCACGATCCAAAACCATGAAGTGGCAAATATACCATCTGAGAACACACTGTACAGCTGAAAAGTGATAAAAAGGACCATTAAAAAAAAAACAACCCAACCAATCCCCAAACAAACCTCCCTGCCAAAGCACAGGCTTGAGTTTCCAAGATTTGTCATCACTCCCTGCAGTCCAGAGCCCTTACTCACTCTTGGTAAAATTCTTTTTGGGATTAGTCAACCCCAGTCCCTCCCCTGTATTCAAGCCCAGGAATCTGGGTTAGGCTTGATGCAAAGGAGAAGAGAAATCTTTCCTCACTGGAGAGAGAGAAGTAAAAGTTTCCTGTCCCAGGTTGACAGTCCTGGGGATGGGGCAGCATCCTACACCTCTCACCAGTTATGGTGACTGCAAATCTACAGCCATGTGGTTGGAGAGGTCCACCTGCAGTCAAATTCTCCTCCACACTGTGCATGGAGCCCAGACATCTCTTCTCAGTGCTGGGGTCAAGCTGGACCTTCAGTGTGGGGCAGTACTGAGAACCATCTGACCTGGGTGCTGGTCTGCCCCTGGGGCTGCAGAAGTGGCTGCCAGCTCCTCTTCTCTTGTGTGACTTTATTTATACCCAGCAAATCACTTTTTTCATTTGAACATGTGTAAACATTTCTTATCCAGCCAGATAACAACGCAGGCTGACTTTCTGCTCCCAGATGTATGAATGCCTCATTATATTGTATTTGTATTATATTGTATCAGCTACAGCAAGTCAGAGAAATTACAACAGCATTATTGACCTCAGGCTTAGCTGATTCCTGAAAATGAAGCTCCACCAGTGCAACAGGAGGCAGGAAATACCGAGAGAGCATCCTGTTTACCAGCAATTTTGTTCTGAATTATCCTTCCCTCCCACCTGCTCCGCACAGATGTGAAGAGATGAGAAACAGAACCGGGCAGCACCTCTCCAAACAGTCCTGGCTTGTGTTTTCATGCACTAAAATGAACAAATTGGACTGATTAAATATTCTTCCCCACAGAGAGTGCACCCTTTTTGTAGGAAAGGATAAAGGTAGCTAATGTAGCTAATTGTAAAAAGGGAATAAAACAAACAGGAGCTGTACTACATAAATGGAAAAGAAATGAATATGGAGGAGATGGCAATACGACTTTGCAGATGGTGTGATAAATCTGTTTACAAACACAGATAAGAGTGATATATTGTGAATGCTACATCTTTCCATATTTTCCATGAAGCAAAGTGATGCGAAGATGTTCGGATACATCTTTAAAGGGCTGCTGGTTTTGCCTTTTATCTCTGACCACAGGAGCTTGTTAGCAGGTAGATGACCTCAGCAGAGCCAGACAGACAAGGATTGAAATGGAACACATCTACCTGGCTGCCTCACAGGGGTTATTTAGACTATGCTGGCCAAAGGAAGCAAAGTGCCCTGACAAAACCAGACAGGACAGCTGAATACACCTCACCTTTTGCCAGCAGAAGGCCACGGGGAGCTTTGCTTTTTGTTTCCCATGGCTGTGACGGTGGAAGCAATGTCCCCAGACCCTGTGTCTGACCATGCCTGCAGCACCCACGCTCTGCCTCCCCAGCTGCCTGCTCAGCACTGGGGCTGGGTGCTGCTGCCTTGGGCACAGCCTGGCAGCGTGTCTGTGCTTGCTGCTGTGGGGACACTCACAGCCACAACAAAGAACCACAGAATGCTTTAGCTTAGATTGAAGACCTTTAAGATTGAGTCCAACCATTAACCCAGCACTGCCAAGGCCACCACTAAACCATGTCCCCAAGTGCCACATCTGCATGACTTAAATGCAAACCTCTCCTCATCTTCTCACCCTCAGAAGCTGGTTAGCCCTGATGGGGAATCACAGAATGTTAAGTGGTTAGAATGGACCCTAAAGATCACTTAGACCCATCTTCCCTACCATGGGCAGGGACCAGACCAGGCTGTTCAAAGTCCCATCCAGCCTGGCCTGGATGCCAGGGTTGTGGAATCCACAACCTCCCTGGGCAACCTGTGACAGTGCCTAGCTACCCTCACAGCAAAAAAATTCTCCTTCTTTCAATCTGTACCCATTACTCCTTGTCACTACAGTTCTTGATGGAGAGTCTCCCTCTGGTTCCCTGTAGGGCCCCTTAACTATTGGAAGGTTGCTAGAAGGTCTAAAGCAGCATCAATGTAAATGTACTCTTAATTTTAGGAGATTCCTTTGGGAAACATAAAGGTATCCCGAGAGCTTGTGTTCTTGCACGTGGCAACAGCAACGTCACAATTCATGGTGCCAACTCTTTGGATCACTGGGTTTGCAAAGTTATGATGTTCCCTGCATCCATCCAACCTGGTCTGTAAAATTTTCTCCTCCCTTCTTTCTAAATCAGGTGCTTCCCAGATTCAGTTTTCTGTGCCTCTCTGTCCTTCAAATCCACTCCTAGGGAGATGACATCTGTGGGAGATAAATCAGGGCACATCAATACTTCCTCCATCCTGTGAAGCTGCAGAGAACAGAGCTGCAGAGCACAGCTTTCAGTCTAAATTATTACATGCCTCCAGGATGACACGGATCACAGCAAGGACTGGGGAGGACATGTAAAAAGAGATTTCTCAGGGCAGCTAAGTATAATTGAGTGAAAACAAAAGGGAGAAAAACTGCAGGTCAAAACTATTCTGATTTTTTGGGGAGCAGACCCACTGCCTATGCAGAAGAATGGGACTTTGGGGCTGGTGTGTGTGAGGGGGAACAGCAGCTCCTTGCCACCCTTTGAAGAATTCTGGGAGCATCCCAATCCCACATGCTGCCCTCACAGCCCTCTGCTCCCCTCCACAAGACTGCCAGGGTGAGAAAAGCTCCTTTATGCTGCTTAGTCCCCCTCCCTTCCATGCCTGTTCTTGGCACTCAGGAGCCTGTTCTGCCTGGCTGACTGCTAATGACAGGTTTCGCTTCTGGGGAGCTCCAGTTTTCCCTCTGCTGCTGGGAATACGCCAACCCTTTGTATTTTGCAACATGTCAGACTACTCAGCCCCTAAAAAGAATCAACATCCTGGCTTTGTGCTTTCCAAAGTCACTTCTGGAAGTGTGATGTGTTTCCTTCACCTCTTGTTTTGCTTTCATTTGTGTTGTTGTTTTCCTGTGCAGTGTCGGAAAAGCTCACCCACATAAAGGCCAACAAACCATCCTCCCATGCACC